TATTATTAATATTTTTTTTATTTTTTGTTTTTTGTTATTAATTAAAAATTTGTTTAGTTCACGATTTCCATTAGAAAATTATCCAAATAATTCATCATCGCGAAGTGGAGTCAATTTAATTCGTCAACAATCTTATATAACTGCTGTTCGATCAGCAAATCAAAGTGAGCAACCAGATTTTGGTAAGTTTAAAAAAATGACGTTTTTTTTCTTTTTGTGTTTAATTTATTAAATTATTTTCTTAAAAAAAAAAAATAACAGTATCTCAATTTGGAAGTCCACCAACGGCAGAACAGGAAATGAAACAACGTCGAACACCTTATTTAATTAATAGTGAACAACGTATTGCTCCTAATCGAGGAGGTTATCTTTCTTCTAACTTTAATAATCAACCAATTACACAAACTCAAAATGCTTTTGATATTCTTCGAGAACAAGCACAAAAATTAAGGTTTTTTTTTACTTTTTATTTTCTATTTAAAAAAATAAAGATTTAAAAAAAAAAAAAAACTATTCTTTTAGAAATCCTCCTCCTCAACATCAAACACAAGCAATTAAGAAATTAAAAAATTTCTTTGGTGAAAATGTAAATTTCTTTCTTTAAATAAAGAAAAAAAAAAAAAAAATTTGTTGTGTTTTCTTTAAATAACTTAAGATAATTCAAATAAATAATGAAATGGAACATCGACCATCATTATCTCAATCTCCATTATCTCCACATTCATCATCAGGTGGTCAATCAAAATCTGGTTCTATATTTGATGGTTCAACTGTTGATGGAACATCAAATACTCGAGAATCAATTCGATTAACAACAATGACGGATAATTTAGAAGCATCAAAAGAAGGAATACTTTATTGTAAAACTGTTTTAAAAGAAGGTCGTCGTGCTGCTGATCGTTCATGGCGTGGAGCTTGGGCTGTACTTAGACGTGGAGCTTTATTTCTTGGAAAAGAAAAAAAACATGGATTATTAATTCCACTTTCATGTGATTCATTTCCAATTAATCTTCAAAATGCTGATGTAGAATTAGCAAGTGATTATATTAAAAAACCAAGAGTTTTTAAAGTAACAACTGCAAATCAAAGTGAATTTTTATTTCAAGCACCAGATTTACAATCTTTAAATGAATGGTTAGATGTTATTAATGAACATTGTATTAATACAGATTTAGGACAAGATAATCAACGAATTACAAACAATATTAAAGATAAAAAACAAAGAAAAAGTACTGCTTCATTACCACCTATTGCACCTATTCATCATGAACATGAGTAAGATTTTATCTTTTTTTTTTTCTTTTTATTTATTTACATAAAATCATTGAAAAGAAAAATATTTTTTGAGACAATTAATTAGATTGATTATTAAATCTTATAGACATTCGAATAGATAAACCTAATTGTGTTTTTTTTTTGTTATATTTTTATGTTTTGTTAGAAAACAGAAATAGTTCAATCGTCTCTTTCACTTCGATCAATGAGACATATTAAATTGAGTATATTTAGAAGACATGAACTTATTTTAATTGCCAGACAGTACACACAAACATGTTTATAGAAAAAATAAATTGAGTTACTTGTCTAAAAAATGATATATAGAGAAAAAATAAAAACAATAATCAGTTCATAGAAATGTCAAACATAAAATCTAATGTCAGGTTATATTAAACAGTGCAAAAAGACTTGATTAATATCTGGAAATTATCATAGTTTTAACTTGTTCTTGTAAAAAAAAATATGACTCGATTGAATAAATAAATAAATAATTTATAATCAATGAGTCGAACTCTTTTAAGAATTTTTCATTTTCATTAAATTGATATCGAAAAATTGAGTAGAATTTTGTTTAAAAACTCTGAATTCAATATAATTATTCATTTTATATAGAAAAAAATAAAAAAAAAGTAAATATATATTTTTTAATTTAGTTTATCATCTCAAACTGGTGAACAACGTAAATCAAATTCAAAATCAAAAAATACATTTCGAAGTCCATCATTAAAACGTTCTCCAAGTCTTCGTTTTCGTAAATCTCAAAAATCTTCAATAACTCAACCAGCTCAATCAATTTCACCATTAAGTGGAACAAATTCTCTTCCAAATGGTTCAAATGTAACATCACCTCGTCGTTCATTTGTTAAATCAATTGTAAAAAAAGGTCTTCGAACATTAAAATCTTCCTCATCATTATTAACAAGTCAAATGAGTGGACAAATATATGATGAAAGTAGTGGAGAATCATTATCATCAACAACAGGTCCTGGTACACTTTCCCAAGGTATTAATTTTGCTATTGAATTAGAAGAATGTGAATCATCATCAATATCACGTTATATTCCAATTGTTGTCGAAATCTTAACACGTCTTATTGAATTACGTGGAATTAATTATCAAGGAATTTATAGACATGCTGGACAATTAACTGCTGTTAATTGGCTTGTTAATGAATTAGATAAAGGAGCTGAAAATATTGATTTTAATTCTGAAAAATGGTATGATGTTAAAGCTGTTGCATCAACATTAAAAACATTTTTTGCCAAATTACCTGATTCACTTTTATCATCAAGTTTGTTTAAAAAACAAAAAAAAAAAAAAAAAAAAATATTTTTATTTTTAAATTAAAATAATTTATTTTATTGTAGAAATGAGTAGTTTATGTGTTGAAGCAAGTCGAATTGAAAATCATTGTGATCGTTTAGTTGAATTAAAACGACTTGTTGTTCAATTAGATGATTATCGATTTGAAACATTAAAATATTTATGTGCTCATTTTCGAAGAGTTTCTTCCAAATGTGATATTAATAAAGTTTGATTTTATTTTTAGTTTTTATTTTGAAAATTATTTTCTTTTTTTCTTTTTCAAATAGATTGATGCAAGAAATTTAGCTATTATATTTGGACCAACATTAATATGGGATTCAAAAGCATCATTACAATTAAATCTTGTTGATAATCCAGAAAAAATTAGAATTATTGAATCATTTATTTTATATGTATGTTTAGATTTTATTTTATCTTATCCTAAAATTCTTTTACAAATTCAATATTAATTATCTAAGTAGTTCAGTTACTTACATATAGAAATCAAAAACAAAAAACAAAAAAAAAAAAAAATTCAAAAAAACTATTTTCAAAATAAATAATTATTTCTTCTAGTTTTATATCATAGATATCATTATAATAATTTATTTATTTAGATAACTTAGATAAAATCGAAAATAATTGCTAAATCCGATAAATATATTTCTAAATGAAAGTTATTTGTTAATAATGTTCCGATTGTAAATTCATCTAAGTAAATAGTTAAATAATTGACTTTATTATTTAAGCTAACGTAAGAGAAATGTCGTGAAGAAACTCGAATTAAGATAGATCGACCATAGAAAAATAAATAAAAGTGGGACATCAATAAAAAAAAAAAAAAAAACAAAAAAAAGATTGAGATATTCGAATTTTGAAGGTATTTACAGTATGTTTAAGATGCTTACAATTGAAATTTTGACGAGGGTTTCTTTTTTATTATGTTGATTGAATATAGCTTATCAAATTGCATAATAAAAATTATCTTTCAAAGTACTTAACATAACTTTGAATTTTATGTCTATTTATTTTTATGTTTGAAAATGAACGATATATAGGAAATATTTCTCGAAAATGTGTATTTATATTTGAATCGTCATTTTTCTTATGTAATTTAATAAGTTCTATTCAATCATCAGAAAAAAAAACAAATTCTGCTAAAATTTTCAATTGCAAACATTTTCCATAGATTGTAATATATATTTGTTAGTTTTTTCCAGTGAAAAGTATAATTTAATTGAAATCTGTCTAGTCTTATTAACTATCAATGTAAATACCTCGATTATAAGATTGACTTTTGTTGTTGTTGTTTTTGTTGTTGTTGTTTTTTTAAATTTAAAATGCTTTTTATAATTTTGATATTGATATATTATCTTGAAAAGAATTATTTTGAATATATAAATATAAAAATCTAATAAAAATAATGATATTATTTCATAATATAAATCTTTAGTAAATAGTCGATATAGATGCGTAACACAAGTTGACTTTTTTTCTTTTATTAATCTATAAAACTAAAAAAAAATGTAATTATTATTTTTGTTTTTAATAGCATGAATGGTTTTTTAATAATAATTCTTATGAATTAATACCAATTGAAATAAATCCTCAAATGCCTCGATTACCTCCAGTAATAAGTCATGGAACAATCGATTCTGAACCATCATTAAATACAGAAACAAAACCAGGTGAAATAATTCAACATATTGTTCATGCAGCTAAAAGACGATGGTCATCATCATTATTACTTGATACTCTTTCATCGTTAAATTCTCAAACATCACCAAAAACAACAAAAACAACAACAACGAATGATCAACAAACATCAAAACCCATAAATATATCTGTTAAAAGGTATTTTTATTTTACTATTAAATATTTATTTTTATAAAAAAAAAAAAAAAAAATTTATTCCAGTGTTGTTCGTCCAAATTAAATTTGTTCGTGTTTTTATTTTTTTGTTATTAATTGTAAGCTCAGCTTGGTTTTCTCCTCTGTCCCGCACGTTCGTCGATCCGTCCGTTCCTCTGCCGTTTATCCCTATTCAAATATTTTTTTCTTTTTCTTTTTCTTTTTCTTTTTCGTTTTCTTTTTTTTCTTCTTTTTCTTTTTAAATCTAAATAGATTTTTTTTTTTTTATTTTTCTTTTTTTTTTTTAACAGAAAGGTGTTGTTTGTGTTTTTATTAAAATTTTTTGGATAAAGAGG